TTTCGTGGCTTCACAGTTGCGTGCGTTGCTTGCGACAGACTTTCATGTGTTTGGGTCTGGGATAACGCGAAACAGTATATTGACTTTTATACCAGTCTATAGGCGTTTGGTTGAGCTTTAATGCCAATTAGATTCTCTCGTGCCAAGCGGGCATGATTGCGGCATATGTATATGTGTATGTATATATATATAGATATATACATATGGATGAACCATTTGTAAGTGGAATCATATTCCACATGATCCTTACAGTTTCTGAGATGTATACGAACCGACCCTATTGCAAATATGAAAATCTTATCGCACGACTAACGAAGTAACGCCATTAGGTGGCATGACCTTTACGACAAATAATGGCATAATAAACAAATAATATTGCTCTATTCTGGGGCGCCCGACTAGGGGATACCTTGAAACTAATATTACCACTGCTTCATATTCCACAGCCATACCAGGAATTGAGTTTCAAAGACAAACTAAATTAAAACGGCAGCACGGCCCCACATAATACAAAACAATCACAATTGCAATTCTGTTTATAGAATTTCAAATTGAAGCTCGTATGAATATATGTGATTTATATGATGATGTTGGCGAAATTTCCATATAGATTATAATCGATTGCTGGAAACGGGACAAGTTATTGATTATCGGTAACTTCTGTTGTACATATCCTATATTGATAAAATGTTCAGCAGTATGTCTAATTGTGCTGTAGAATATAATATTTTCTCAAAAAGCCAATAGTATTAAAATTGTGGCTTGAATTAATAAGAAGTTGAAAAGAATTTATTTATTTGATTTTTAGCAGGGGGTGGCGGTACTTAATCTGTATGTACTCTTCTAGAGTGTCTAATATGGTGATTCTAGTTCTGAAAACCTAAAAAATTTGCTTTAAGACCGGAGGTCGATATTTAATTATATCGATAGCTTAGAAACGGGATAAGCTATCGTCTGTCGGAACTCGTACTCGGACACTAGTACAATTCAAAATTTCTTCTAAGATCGACGCGTTCATACATACGGACATGGCTAGATCAACCAAGAAAATATTTTTCTTTCTTTATGGGGTCGGAGATGCTTTCCTTGGCCTGTTACATACCTTTGCACAAAACCATTATATCCTTCTTACTTGATTTCAGTATGTTCAAGGTATAAAAAGGCAACAACCGGCCATTAAGCAATAACAGTGGTGATGAGGGCGGGGTGAAGTCTAATGAAATTCCGGAGAAACATGTTCTCGCCTGATAAGCTACCATTGGTCAGCTGCAATGTAAAGCGAATGGCATGCAATGTTGTCCCAAATGTGCACCACGCAGGCGAAGGCGCGGAAGCGAGCGTGACGTTATTGAGCGAGAATGGTGGGTTAAACCAAATAAAATATGAAAGCCACAAAGGCACATGGTTCAAGTCATTTTACTATTGGAGAGAACGTAGTAGTTCCACCTCCTTGGTATTGCCTTGAACAATTGGGCTGTTGCTTGGCCAACTTTAAACATTTATGTTAATGAAAAGAAAACGCCTAACGCACAAGGTTTAACATTCAACGCTCACCATCTGGCGTTCAACATAGGCGTCATTGTTTTATTCTTAACGGGCACACTCCGAAACGTTTCCGTCGCATGATCCTGCGCTGAATTTTATGCAACGATTGTCAGAGCGGGCAATCCCACCCAATCTCCGCCCTTGCTTGGTTTCTTTGTGTGGGCAAACAAAGTACGAGATAAACTTTTGTTCTGCATGAACTTTACCGTCGTTGCTGTTGCTGTGGCATTATATTTTTTGCTTACTTAGAGACAGTTCCTTTTTTTGTCCTCATTTTATCAGAATTAGTTTAGCATAATTCAAATCGGACCAGAATTTTTTAAATTTTTATACCCTGAACCCATTAAAAATGGGTATAAGGGTAAATTGTATTTGTGCAAAATCCAAATGTATGTAACAGGCAGAAGGAAGCATCTCCGACCCCATAAAGTATATATATTCTTGATCAGCATCAATAGCCGAGTCGATCTAGCCATGTCCGTCTGTCTGTCCGTCCGTCCGTCCCTCCGACCGTCCGTCCGTCCGTCCGTCCGTATGTATGAACGCAAAGATCTCAGAACCTATAAGAGCTAGAGACTTAAAAGACTTAGATGTAGATGCTCCTAGTTCCCGCGCAGTTCGAGCTTGTTTCCGATAATCGATAACTTACTCCGTTTCCAAGCAATCGATAAAAATCGATATCGATATCCTGTTTTTTGGGCAATTTTGGTAAATAATAAGAGCTAGAGTCACCAAACTTGGCATATAGCTTCTAAAATAGAATATATATGCATTTGATGTTGGAAGAAGAGGGTTCAGGGTATCCCCTAGTCGGGAGCTCCCGCGGATGGTTGCGTTTTCGACGCAATGGCACATTTTTTATTGCCATTTTTGGCTGTTAAATGAATGGTAAAAGCTTACGTTGTTTCAATCATACAGTGATTATTGTTTCCTATTGATTTTCCATTTAATTATCTGGTTAGTTCTTGTTGCAATAATCTGGTAACGACACATGCATGGGTATAAGGTTTAAGCATGCAGAGTACTTGCTTCTTTTCTTTAAATTGTATGCTATTCAATTTACTAGCCTTTGCTCCAATACATGAGCAGAATGTGTTACTGTGAGCAATCAGACAAAAAGCGCACCAACACTTAGCCTGCCCAACCGCTCAATCCAACTTCGCAACCACCAATGCTATAAATTATGTAAATCTCAAGCGGCTAACGTTACAGACACGACCTGAAAGCCTGTCGAGAAAAAATCAAACAAAATCGATTGATGTACAAATTTTTGTAACATCCTGCCTGGAGGAGGCAGCCTTTTGATTTGTGCCCAGTGTCAGGCGGCCTAGGAGTTAGAAGTGTTTTTGCTTGAATACTTCATTGCCAGCCTGCTTCTAAATTATGTAGATTTGTTTCAGCATAACTCTTGCGTAAGTGAGTTTGTGTGTGTGTTTTTTCTGGATACAGAGGATCTTCGCTTTGCTCCGACGTACAACATTTTAAACCGTCATTAAGCTGCGCCCATAAATATCAGGGCGCCTCTCTTCTACGGCTTTCGCTTTTGACTGTAAAATTATGTAAATTTATTGGGCAATAGCATTGCCCTTTTGCTGTTTCTTTAGTTTGGCCTTGTTTTGGGCACTGAGTAGATTCTTGTAAATTGTACCGAATTATTGCCGGGCGGACACAGCAGATAGTTGGTTTGCTTTTCTGTGTCATGTGTTCAATGGCTAGGGTGTTTATTCGATATAAAGGATATTTTACTTTAATTTTTAGTTAACGCCTTTTTGTATTTTGCTTATTAAACTTTTCCTTCTCGCCAAGCCATTATCGCACTACATTTGAGAGCGAAAACTTTTTTGCAGTTTGGAAAAATCAAATCAGTTGAAAATTAATTTAATTCACACTTGGCTTCAAAAGTTCTTCTTTCGTGTAGCTTTATGATTTTCCTGCATCTATTTCTTATTTGCTATACGAAAAAAAACAGGATGCAAATTTTTAATTATAAAAGTTTGAATCGCACTTGTCGCCCCGCTGCTAGCTAGTCCATCTGTTCGTCACTGAGCACTGAAAAGCAGAAAGCAATGCTAACCATCTGAAATTGTTGATAGCTTACGCAGTGAGTGCTGACGGCGCCCTTGCCAATTTTACCAATACTAATTATGATTTTATTTTCAGCCGATTCCTTACAGTTGAAAGTGCAGCTTTTTGTTTCGTTTCTTTTTTTGTGCCATTCCTGAGTTGCTCTGTTGAAAGTTTACTTCTTGGAGCTCTGAATTCCAATTGTAGTTTATGTGAATGTCCTTAGAGTTTGCTCGTGGCGCAACTTAATTAATTTTACATTGCCTTGAGTTTTCCGCGATAGCTGTCAAAAAAGTGTTCAAATGATAAACGAGCTAATTAATATGCGCTCAAAGTTTACACTCTACCCATCATAGCAACATAAATGGCTGTAATTGTCGCTTGTGGCTGCGCAATTATCCATTATGGGCTTTGCAAAAATTTGTAGAACTGTAATTGCACAGTCCAAATAAAAAAGATTTCTGCAGCGATGCTAGTTTTTGAGCCAGCTGCTAGGTCGGTCAACGACATTGTTGGAGGCACTCCAGCAACTGGATACGTAAATTTCATTAAAATTCATGTGAAATATATTGAGACTTGCATGCATTATGGTCACTAAGTTTGAAATGCGCAGAAACTTGTGTCAAGTGTGCCTCTACATACCGGTGCAGGCCTTGCTCAAATATGCAAATATCACCACGGAAAGGGGGACGTTGCTGAGTTGCAACTTTAAATAACAGAATTTTCCGGGAATAGTAGCTCACCCCGCCGTCCCTGCTTTTCTTTGGGTTTTCTAAAAATGGAGCTCAAGTAGTTTTTCGCTCTATAAAATTTCATGCATAAACTTTAGAAAGTGCTTAAGATTTTATAATTTAAGCATAGCACGTATGCGGTGTCCACTGCCGTACAAAGGAGCCAAGAACTGTTCAGGGTAGTTTGTTACTGCAGGAATATGTATGTATGTTGTTGAACCAAAACTTTATTAATCCCTGAAACCGCTGAGTGGTTTTGATTTAAAGCTATTGATAATATTACAAACAGTTCCATAATTATATGCGAAGTCTTACCGGAACTTAAGTTCGAGAGCAGGCCAGTTCAACTTGTTATGATTGTTATTAGTGCTATTCTTATATAGAATATAAATGAGTTCGAGTTTAATTTTGTAGATACTTGGCAAACACATAATAAATATGCGTTTGGAATCCGCAACATAAATTAAAAGTAGTTTTCATATTTTATTTTACATCTAATGCTTTATTTGTATTTGATTAATTTAGATATTTTTTATCGGTAATGTTTCTTATGCACAATAATCATATAAGTACCACCATAATTAGCATATAACTAGTTAGAATTTAGTGAATTTTATAAATATTCTTTGGTTGCCTCGGTTTGATGAACTTTTTGTTTGCTTTTTAGTTGACATATATTCAGGAAATACATTCTAATGTTATTATTTTTACTTGTCTGATTAACTTGATGCTACTGTAAATTGTCAAGTTGTTAATGCTTCAATTACAGTAGTTACACCATAACCCATGCTTACGAGTTCACTTCTTAGTGGCAATTTATTAACACACATAATTAATTTACCTCTAATTCGACAATTTATTTCAAGTGCAACTACACAAAAGTCGTATCTGTATGGGTTCATATTGCATGCTTAAAATTAGCTTGGCCGTATTTTGTGGCTAAATATACAAGTACGATCGTACAACTGCTAGGTGCAAAAGCTGATCAAATACAGCGCTCAATGTCCTTGTATTTACAAGTACTTTAATGAGCTGTTATTCATGGTTTACTTATAATCTGTATTTTAGTTTGCTAAAATGCGTGTTTGAATTTTATATTAGGGTTTATTTTAGTTTTCTTGTTTTTGGTGGTACAACATGTTTTCTTAAATGCTAACTATAATTCGAAACGTTATTCTAAATTAATGTGGTTGGTGCACTTACAACTAAGTTGAGCGAAATAAATAAAAACAAAAACAAAAACAGGAATATTAAAAATACCTTACAGCTAACATTTTACAGTGGTGTTTCGTTTGCTATTCATAGGTATTTATGATTTCATTTTAAACTAAATAATATCACTATATAATGCTTGCTTAATTTACATATATTATTTACGCATTGGAGTTTTTATGAAATACTTAAAATGTAATTCACATTCAAATATCTGATGCATATTTACATGACCTAGTTCGAGTGGACTATCCTACTATGGATTTGCTGCTTTCATATTCTCATATATTGCATTCGCAGTTGCCCTTTATAATACGTTTTTGTATTACTCGCACTTTTTATTCTGCGCTCATGAAATAGCTAATTTAATGGCTGACAAAATGGTTGAAAAATTATTTACATTGGAGGTTGTTAAGTTTTTGCCTAATTTTTTTTGTATATATTTTTATAAATCTAATCTGGGTGTATCTTTGGTTTGTTTTCTGTAGTACCTGTACGAAATGATTGATTAAATTCAACGGTGGCAGTAAAAACAAAATATACATTTAAATGGGCTTAAGTAGTGAATGTGTTTTACAGATGCACATTTAGATACATGAAATAATGTTGAAGACTTATATAGTATCTTTTAAAGCGTGTAGTTTAGAGATCGTCTTCATATTTTCCCTAACCTTTTTGGCAAAAAAACAAGTTAAACAAAATACAAATTTAACTTTATAAGAAATCAAGTTTCTCGGCATAGCCGACGCTGTATGTATGGCTTATCCCAAGCCAAAACGAAGTCGTTCAAACTGGCTATTTCGCAAGCCAAAGGCAAGCAACAGTGCTCCACGAAGAAGCAAACAATGGGGGATAGCGTTTTGTAGGCTGCTGAATGCGCCGCTGTTGCTGCGCGACTTTGAACTGGCTACCACTTCGGCGTCCTCGGGCGCAATGTCCATGCTGTTGCTGGCAACGATAAATTGAAATATATCGCTGACCTGCAGGAATAACAGTAAAAAAATAGGTAATAATATATCTGTAGAAATAATGATTAACTTTTCGGCTCTTACTAAAGTACTAGAGTATTTTAACGTAACCTGCTCCTGACTTACCTCATTCCAACCATATCGGTTTTTAGCTTGAACAATTGCTTCGTAATATGCACCTGGATGCAGATGCTTAATAGTGTAAGACATGATATGAGTAAGGGGCTCAGAGGCTGGACGATGTTCGGGGGTGAGAATAAAATCATGCCATCTTCCTGGCTGCTGAAATGTGTCATTCATCTAAAGTAAAAAAATAAAATAAAATGAAATTATGGCGTTTATGGGAACGTTTCTCAGTTCTACGTTTTGACAGCTTCTCTATATTATAACAGTCATCTATCATGTACTTACCAGTACTCGTCGGTAGAGCAGGCGCACCTCCTCTAGAGGGGGATAGCTATCGATTTTCCATGTCAAATTGTAACTATCAGAAGAACGTCCCCACTTTGGCGAGTAAAACTCAGCGGGACCAGGCCGACCAGAGAGTTCCATGTACTTGCGGGAGCGTCCCAAAGAGTTATCAGCTACGCAACTGCATAAGTGCACATAAAATCAAATTACTTCAGGCTGTCTCAGTCTAGGCAAGACGGCTACATTTTTGTATAGGTACTATTTCTTTCAAAAATTTAAAAGATATTTGGTTTTATATTTAATTTTGTATCGCATTGCGTACCTAAACCAGTAACCCGCCTGTTACCAAAAGTTTTTGGAGTTTTTTCTCAAAGGAGGTTGTGGGAGTGGGGCAAGCTGCGCGTCCGCATTTCGAAAATTGTGTCAACTTAACTAATCTAATCACGTCTATGTCAGAAGCTACTTGCAGTCAAAGGTAGGTGGCAGTGGATGGGTTGTGGTTGTCCCACATAGTTGCCGGCAAAAACAAAAACTTTGTATATGAAATATTGTGTCAACGTGGCGAAACTTCCACTTCCTTAATATGTTTCAGACAGATTGACGTGGCACAACTTGTTTGCTTATGTAATGGTCAGGACACGGTTATTGGTACGCTGGAGAGTATTATTATATAACAAATAATAAAGAGACAATAACTTATGTGTAAGCACAGGCAACAGTCCATCAAGTTTTATGGAGAAGGTTATAGTAAAAGTTCTTGAGGTTTTTATTACAGTACAATCAATGGTTTTGCTGTTCAACTTACCTGTAGTTGCCAAAGTCCTCCTGCTGGATGTGACGTATGGTAAGTGTATGTCGATTGGCTCTTGTGTTCATAATTCGCCGATCGGTTGTTTGAATCGGAAATGAGTTTTGGTACCAGGACACCTGCAGTTGGAAAATGCCAAACAATATAAAATGTAGAAAGCGAAGCTTTGAGTCCTATTTTCGTTTGTTTAAGTAGTAATAAAATAAAAAGAATACATATAATTTATGGGATCCTTCTGCCTATTACATGCATTTTACACAAACCCCTTATAACCTTTTTTACCATATTCAATGGATTCTAGGTGTAAAAATATGTATTCAAATATAATATAACGTATTATTAAAAATTAGACCAACCGTTGCGACCGGATCAGCGTAAACAATGCAAACGAGTTTTGCCTCGAATCCTTCTCCAGAGTGTATCCAGGATTTTTCCACTTGAATATCCGGTGGGTCTACACGCATTGACACACATTCAATCCAAAACACGAAAAGATAATTGGTTGGATTTTCCATCATAAGATTCGTCAAGCCGCAATTTTAAAAAGGAGAGATGAATTATTTCAAGAGTGTTAACGAAGACTTGTGTTTGTTTCGACTTAGTTTATTTAATCATGTTATAAACGAATGTATTTTACACAACTTACATAAAACATCCAGTCGCATATCCACCGTAACTGGGTCTCCGACGCCATTATCGGCGGTGCATTGATATACCCCCGCTTGTTGGCGCTCCAATTTGTCTAAAGTTAGTATAGGTCCATCACCAATTCTAGCCGGCGATTTGCCAGTGCCGCTCTATCAAAATACAATTTTATATTACTTCATTATTCTTTTGCTTTTAGGCAATAAAAGTAAAGTTCTCGAGGGCGAGTAAAAAATGTTAAAAGTCAACTGCAGTGGCAACTGAAAGTAAAAAGAAATGCAATAGAAAGATCTCTTGACTACAAGTACGCTCTGCAGGAGTTAACCTGCTGTCCTTCTTTCGGTTGCCTTACACAACTAGAGGTAAACACCAAAAAAAGAAGAGAACGATAAGACACAAGAGGCGATGTGGGACTCATGTCTAGTACTTGTATGTAGCCAGTCAGCTTTTGGTTGCGAACATCTTGTTTTTGGCCAAGTGACGCCAACGGGGAACACGTGTCGATGGCTGCTCTAAACGCAAGCAGAGCATCAAACTTGGATAGAAGGGGCCGTGTTAAGGTTGCGGAAATGACAGTAGATTCAAGCGAAATTCAATGGCATACAACTTACTAGAAAGGTTTGAAAGTCAACGACTGCGTTTACATATGGAGCGCAAACTATTTGCTGAAACATGGAGAAACCGAGTGATTGAGCTACGCCCATGTCAAGAGCAAGGCATGCAAGCAAACAAATCGAACGGAAATGTCTAATGTGCCAAAGTGCAGAAAGGCAAACAAGATTGAGCAGGGCGGAAGATAGATTTTTTCGACTATATTAAGAATTTTACCCCTTGTTTTATTAAAAGCTTGCTGACTCTCGGTTAAAGTTGTGGGTTGTAGGTTGCTTGTTTGACATTTGCCAATGTATACTGTTTCATCAAAACGTTTGTAGTTTTATGCAACCCCCTACATTCTATTCAATCTTAATTAAATCACGCTTGGGAGTGCGAGTGTACGTGGGCAAACGATTTCTAGCTTAATATTTTAAATGTTGCGTTTATTTGTGTGTGACAGGCATATAGAATTCTTGGTCAGATATTACACTCATAATAAAAACATATCTCCATACGAGGGAAATATTTTTGTAACCAACCCTTTGTTATGTGTACGTTATCGCAATACACTCCTTAACCCAACACATTATTATATTGTAAAAATTACCTAACGACACTATTGAGATCTATTGATTGCTCATCGAATATTTTAGTGTTGACACCTATATTTTTCGGTCTGAAGAACTACACTTACCTTTTTGGTCCAGTAAATTGATGGTACCGGATTACCGGATCCCTTACATTCAAGGGTAATAGGTCCGCCCTTTCGTGCCTGCAGCTGTCCCGATGTGGGGATAGCGCGAACGCTTGGAGGCACTGTTTGTATGGAAAATATTAGTTTTAATGATTAAAATGGGTTTAACAAACTATTTACGTACAATTTAGATTTGATATGTTGTAAGTGTACATAAGTATACTTACCCAAAATTTCGACTGTGTGTACTTGATCACGATTTATTTTGTCACTGATTTGGCAAACGTAATCCCCTGCATCTTGTGGTTCCAAATCTGATATCTCTAAATTATAACCATCTATCAGTCTTACGCGCTCATCCCGTGTTACCATGATGTTGGAGGCGGTAAGTACATTTGGGCCACGGCGCCACAACAAGACGAAATTGCCTGCAAGAAAAGCAAGCAGAGGGCTCAAATTCAGGAACAGACAAAATATTAAAGGCGCATACGAAAATGTCTTCGTCTGTTGTTCTCCTTGTTGGCTGGAAAATTTATTGTGAATCGCCACAATACAAATACAAAGCAACTGAGATATACATATACTTTCAAGAAGCTAAATAGATGACATTAAAGCGGACAGGAGGTTCACATTGAAGTTGTCGTTAGACATAGACAAACACACATTCATGCAGGCATATACAGATACAGACATCTATCTAAAATGCTATCCGCTTTTTCAGGCCCCAAGTTGCTTGGCCGGTTTGTAGAGCTGTGTGCAGTCTAAAGATTCCCTCTTGCTTGGCTATCCCATTCCGAGTGTGTCCTAGTGCTTTCATCTATTTTTTAGTGTGTTTGTTCATATAAATCACATAATTTCGTAGATGTAGCTGGCAGATTTTTCTTCCATCTTTTTGCATATTTAATAGAACTTACAGTTTTTATAGCCGTAACAAACTACAAATTTGTTATACGAGATTACAAGACACATAATTTATTTATTATTGCATAGGCTTAGGCTGGGAATGTACATTCACGATAAATTCCGAAGCACTGACCTACCGACCCGCTTCAAGAAAAGTTAAACACAATAATTTCGTCAGCTTTGTATTACCTATTTCTGTACTCAGTCATGTGCATTTTGTTGGACTTTTCTTTAAAGTTATTAGAACATACATACGCTGGTATTTTAATTGCTTCCTTCCTGACTTAATATTAAAGGCTTAAAATATGAAATGGGCAAATTGTTTCTGAGATCGCATTATTAATAAATATAAAGACCCTAATTAACCGAAAAAGCTCGACTCCTGGATACACGACTGCGTGATAGCTTGTACCAAAGGCCGCAAATAGAGTATATGGTCGGAGTTTTCTCCTTCCTGATTATGAATATGCATTTGCAGAAAAGGGAAACTATACCGAAAGGTGTATTAAGGGTTGTTATATGTTCACAACAATTTGAATTTGCCACAACATATATGTAGGGTATTTCAGTCGAAACGACATAACGCAGTTAAAAATAAGTAAATGTTAGGGGACCACGTACATATTAACGTGCGTACTAGGATAAACGTTGTCACATTGAATATTTGAGCAAAAAAAACTGTCTCTTATAACTTTTTATTTATACCCCTCCTTGGCCGTCTATAAAGTCGTCTTAAGCGAATACAATCATCTTTTTATTGCTTTGATTATTATTGAATCCCGTAAGTGTTCGAGGCCCAGTTGATGGTAAAATTAGGGTTTTGTTCCTCTACTTTTGTGAGTTGCGTCCGTTCGCTCTGGTCCCGAATTGTTTGCGAATACATTGGCTTACCGTGCGAGGTTATTGATATTTTTTAGCTGAGCAAAAATTGTATGCATTGGGTAATAAGAATTGAATTTTATATCCTTTTTTTATAGACACGAATTTGTGCAGAAGTTGAAAGGGTTGACTAGCAAATTGGACTCCTTTTTAAACCTTTTTTAAAAGAGTTGTGCATATGCATGTGATATGATATGATATGATATATCTATTTATAGATAAACTATTTATATCGGCACAAACAGTCATCAGATATATGAAGGTTTTTACGAACTTTACGCAGTTCAGAAGCGCTAGATACACCAAGACAACAGCTAAAATACTCTATCACGGCACGTTTCTGAAGAGAATTTCAGTATTTTTTGATTTATACGAATATTTTAATGTCGTCTTTTAGCCCAAAAACTGTAGTATTGTTAATCTACATTGTGAATTGTAAATTTGGGAATATTAATATTAATGTGAGTTTAGGTATTTTGGAAATCGGCTCGGGGTGTATCAAAGTATGCTCATCACTTTTTGCGATTCTGTTACTTGTAAAACTTTATACTAAATATCGTGCTATTATGTTGTATTTGCAAGTTAGATTCGTAATCCCTTAGATATATTACCTCTCCTTATATCCAGTCAAAGTTTTTTTTGTTTTGATTATAAGGTTAATGATTTGTATGACGAAGGGCTTCATTCACAGTTTGATATTTGTTTTCTTAATTGGATTTAAACTATTTTGTCATGGTCCCCTTTGTCTGTTTTTCAATTGTGCCAATTAACCATGTTTTCCGTTTACCTCACTTGGCTCTTTTATTTAAAATGAGTAATTTAATACTGCAATTAAACCTTCGCCGTCCCGCAATCATTAAAGACTAATACGGATTAAATGTAGTAAAAAAAAGATAGCAGTCACTGTAAAAACATTACTCGTATGTACATTCGACCATTGATGTGTATACACAGTGAGGTTTACTTTGCTATCAGTTAGGTTTTCCAGCTGTGTTTAACATTTGGTGTGGCCGGAATAGGCAACGACTAAAAAATGTTAAAAATCCTCAAGATTGTTGAACATCTCTTGTAATAATATTCAACTATTTTAACCTTGAACTAACTAACTTAGCCGAAGGTAATTAACGCATTATCCTATAGTCTTAAGTATGACATATGTTTGCATGTTATTAATTGATTTTGTCGTCACAGTCACAATCATAAGGCAGTTTTTTGAACGTGTATCCCGTATATCTCCTGCTGTCTCCAATACGTACAAATGATAACTGACAGGTTGAACAGATTTCGGTCGCATTGTCGTCGATGTCGTCAATGTTCAATTTATTTTCATTTTGCTGCGAACGGTTTATTGCGTTTTATTTATTGGCTTGTCAACAGCATCGCAATTAAAACTCTTTACAAGTTTTCCTTTAAACTAGGTCATGTTAAAGTGTATTGGGCCCAACAATTAGTGTTTATTGAAAGTAAAGTGACTACGTTTTAAAGAAGTATTGGACCTATATTTTATTTGTTATTTTGCCTTCGCTCACATAAATGATGTATGTAATTGTCCACAGGAGCTTGCTGTGGACTGCAAGTTTAATATCATAAAGGTTTTTTTATGTTTATGACATTTATTTATATTAAAAGGCTATTTATTAACTCAGGAATTAAAATTGACACTTATATGCTAATATAATTATTTGTAATGCATTGAAAAATTCTACTGCATGTATACTACGCAAAGTCTTGAATACTCCAATAGTAATTTTACCATATTGCGATTTTTCGTTAGAATTTTCAGTATTTATGATTGTTATACAAAACCAAGATGGAGGTTTTAATAATTTAATTTGATTTACTGCTAGTGTATGTAGTTTGTGTGAACATAAAGTTATAGATGTTGTTTGATAATTATGTTGGTTAGCTGTGCCACGCGAGGCATCGCATGAAAGCATCGATTGGCAAGCTGCTGACAGCTGTTGGTTTTCATTGTCGTGCTGGTGCTGCCATCATTATTAATGGTGTTTATCAAACTTATTTGGAGAGACATTTTGCCTAAACATATTTTCATATTATTTTGCATAATATGTATTAAATGACTATGCGGTTTTCGGAAATCAAAAAATCCTCATGTGTTTTCAGGCTTAGTGTTTGCTTTTCCCATCAATAAATTTTAATAATGGACAATCAATTATGCGAAACTTACCCAAATCGCGAAAATTAAGTTGAACTTTTAATTTCTTAACGGCTTACTCACCCAGATTCTCAACCTGACAGGGCAGGACAAGCGTGTCACCCACTACTGCCCGATAGGTGTGCCCACGGGAAAGGAAGCGCGGTTGCGCCGCAGTCAGCGAGGTGGAAGAGGCCGCAATTAGTTGCTGGGCATTTGTCAGGGATCGGGTATTGGTTCCTGAAATTAAAGACAGTAAAATTATAAGAACATAAGACGTGTATAAGTTGTCTTGTAGTTTAGAGGCAAATATTGTTTCGAAATCGAATAGCTTTCAATTAGTAAGAAAACGAAACGCTGTTGTTTCAGTACCAGGATATGTTTAAATATTTGCGATGGTGTGGCTATTGTCTTATTCCACGGTCCTCAACGGACCGGACCACAACTCTTCGGGAGTATGTGGACGAGTCGGTTTTCCTTGGGGCATCATTTGATTGGGGGAAAAATTGCGGAGAGAGCTAACCCAAAGCCGGTTTCAACGACGTTTTAAGAAGATCTGACTTAGGAAAGCAGCAAAAAGCTAGACGAGTAATGCCCGCTGTTGGCATTGACGACAAATGTGCACACCGACTCAACTAAAGTCAGCTCTCTAAATATAAAGCGTTCTTGCAAAAGTTGCTGAAGTTCTCATCTTCAACCCCAACGAAGCGTGACAAATTTGATTACAATAGCAACAGTATGTTCGTGAACAATAAACTTTGGCCCCAGAAAGCGCCCCAAGGAGCAACTGACTGTTGGCATGGATCAGACCGGCACTCAAAAGTAAAAACAGCAACATCAGCAATGGTGTTCCCCGTTTCCTGCACTGTTGAATTTTATGGCGCCTAGACACATGGTCTGGACATTGGCACCATTTTTGGCGCCACACACCCACGCCCACCATCTTAGTTGCTGCCTTGGCCATAAGCAAGTAGGTGGTTCTTCATGGACTTAGCCTTTATTCGCCAAGTTTGCTGTGGTTGCTTAACTTGTACTAACGGGCCATCATTTTATAACCGAAGCACGAAGGAAACGACAAGTATGCGGTCAGTTTGGCGATTCTGTTAGCCTGTCTTAGGTTTTCTCACCTGCACATAAAATATGTCAACAATGTTGAGGTTAGAGAAAGTTGCTGGTTTACCATTAAAATTTAATTAAAATTTAAGAATTCTCACAGAATAAAATTTGTGACAAGATTACTAGCTTTAGTTGCCTTAAAACCAGCATTGAAAATGGTCATTTGAGTCTGGCGACCCAGGTGAAATGGTATGCGAGCAGCCTTAAATATCATGCATGAAATGCATAACAAATTAAGCGGCAAACTATGAATGTTGCCAGAATGGGAAACATTGAATTTTATTTTTAGGGGCCGCACAATCTTAAGGCTCCCATAATTTGAACTCATGCCTTAGCTCTATCAGTTAAAGAGTGCACACCTTGAATGCATTTTGAATTATACTTACTTCAGTCAAACCAAAACGAAAGCATACAGAAAAAATAGTTATTCCTACTCATGGTATTTGAATGAACACACTTCCAAATATTAATATATAATGCATACTAGTAGTTTTTTTTCAAGTGTATTTAATCTGTGGCGTCTGGTAGATAGTAATTTTTTATATTGTTTGTTAACTTTATACTCTTTCTCACCCAGTATTTTAACTGTTGTTGTTGGCGCTAACAGTGCTGAAAAATGAGCTGCAATGGGTTTGCATGTTGGAACTACATAGGTCGCTCACAATGCGGGTGCAGAAGTTAGGAAACTATTGCACACCTTCTTGCATGTGTACATGTACATGGACTTAAATACATATGTGCTAGTGCGGTTACTTCAGTTTTTGTTCGTTTGCTTACCACAAATGCTGTCGTTTGCGTCACAACACAGCAAACTCAATTTTAAAAAGCGCAGTTGTTGCTTGAATAATTTATCTAAAGCACACACATTTTAAAGTGTCATCAGGCAGTAGGCAATGGTTACAAGCACAAATACTGCCACCGCTCACTGAGCTCTGGTGTTACTCTTGACAAGGTAAGGTTAGCTTTGACTGGCTGTGTGGTGAGTGCTAATGTGTTCACGTGGCATTAGCAACTGCTTTTGTTCATAAAATGCAGAGGGGTTCTTTGATACAGGGCTTTGTTATGCACGCACCTTGCCACAGCAGCACAATCTGACACTTAGGAAATCTGCATAGCTTACATTTCAATGCGAATGTCGCGATTACTGAACAAGTGGTTGCAGCCCAATGTTATCGCTAGCTGTAGGCTTCATTGTGAATGAAACTTAAAGTTTTTTAAATAATAAAACTATTGCTAAACACAACAGTAACCATCAAACATCATCTATGCACGCTTGTTTTCTGCGTCTGTGTTGATGATTCAAAGTATGTGTTGTTTGGAATTCTATTAACTACTTCACCCGTTCGAAGTTATTTCCTAAATTTATTCGTTTTATTTCCGAAGGACATGGCGCTCAAAAAAAACAGCTAAAACACTGAATTTGCTTCATTATTTTACTCGCACGCATCACCACGTGCATGTGAGAAATATGCATAGTGCACCTTTCCGTTGTATTGGTATCTTTTCTCATTTCCGGTGGGTGGCTAACAGTTGACGCCAACAAACTTTGTATGGTTTTGTGGTAGAGTTTACCCGCCATGACACCTTTCCAACTGAACATTGGCGACGCTCTGGGCAAAGCTAGGTGTAGACTTGCCCATTTATACACGTGTGCATCAAAACACCCGTCAGAACCGCATTTTGTTTCATTAAAACTTCGGCCGCATATGTCGAACATACATGTGTGTGTGTGTATGTGTGGTTATATAGCGTGGGGTGTTTGCGATCAGCATCTTGGATGTTTTGCTATAAGTTTACTGTTTGCTTTTCTTTGGTGCCTGGCTTTCAGCGCTTTTCCATCTGCAATTCACTACCTTTTAAATTATGCACGGAAAAGAGTCTAGCAGGAGGAAAGTGAACAATAATAAGGAAAAGTACTATTCGGAGTACCGAAGATTAAATACCCTTGATTCAGTTAACAAGGCTATATAAAATCATTTTAGGCCCGTAATTGCTGCGTTTGGTAATCAATTCAAATGACATTATAGTATTGACTGATTATTCCTATAGGATCTATATATGTCATATGGACTGCCTTCTTCAGATCGTGGCAAGTTCCCGACAGCTTTTAAGCTGAGAGACTATTTTCCACAAATACAACTTTCAGACAGATTATAGATGGCTTTTTCAACGCGTTACACATTTCGCAGTAAAATTTCAATTCCCTTTGCATTAATGTGTAAATGGGAGAGAAACAAAAATGTTCATTTCCTCCAATGCAAGTTGTTTGCTTGTTAGCTCACGTTTTCAGGCACATGGAGCCGAGGGCCGCGGGCTAAATTGCCACAGCACCGGCCTAAACATATTGTTTTTTTTTTCCGTTGTTTTTCAAATGCATTTTAAATGAATGCAAATTATTTACGCGCAGACACCTTCAATAAGGTATCCGACAGTAAGATTTCTGCTCAAGGCGTAGCTCTTTCCTTTCTTCGAGTTTTTTTTTGGGCTGGAATTTACTAGAGCAACTAGCCCGCCTATAGACATAACAAAGGTACCCGCTTCTGTCAGTTGCCATAAGATGGTGCCGTCTGGGTGACTTACTTGACTTCTGCATTGGAACATTTATCAAAATCCGCTTTCAGTTGCGCGCTGTGAACTCTAGATCGGGAAAAGCATCGCAATGTCAGGTGCCGAAGTCGACTTTCATGCACCGACTGCGAAGCTTGGCACACAATTTCGCAGCAATTTCGGAAACTTCAGTGCAATGTCATTCAAACAGTGAAAATGGCATACATATACACACGCCGAGTATTTACATATGCGCGTGTGTATAGTGAGGAGTAGCACCATTTGACACCCAAAATATGCAAATGTTTCCAGCTTGCTCTGCTTCCGCTTTCGAAGGCCCGACTCTCGCACAGACCGAGAACCTGTCAAGCGTTTTCGTATGTTGATAGCCAATCTATTCATCTTTCTAACTGCTTTCACATTTGAAAGCTGGGAGTCATTTGGGTTACTCCTGGTGCAGTATATTCGTCAGTGCCTAACAGATGCTGTCACTAGGTTGGCGGTGAATCTGTTGACTTTTATGCACATATCATTTGCATAACATTATTTATCTATCCGCCCAGCGCATTAAATTTTTAAATTCAAGGTAAATCCGCAAGTAAAATGCTTTTCACGCTTTTTTTCGTTAACTCTTGCACTCTTGAAGCGTAATGCACTTTGGTAAGTTCCTGCACATCCGGTTGTGCATCGTTCAGTGCTGTGGCTGATTGCAGCTAAAGGTGGGTCCTGGCTCTGACATTTGCATCTTGAGCTGCTTCTGCTTTTTTATGTGGAAAAAGCCCAATTGGTGATGCGCAAAACGGAAATAGATTTCTGCATGTTAAGTCAGTACACCATTAACCATTAACCTTTATACTCTTTAAATCACAACTTTCATACCGCATATTTTTATTATAACCATAATTTTTTTCCCAATCACTGACGATTATGTGTAATCAACAGTATTAATTAATCATAAATCTAATTAGAGAGCTTAATTCTTTTTATTCCCCTAAACACATTGTAATGTGGAGAGATTGTTAGGAAAGTCAAGAGTTTTCATACTATCCGTATTAGAGTGGGTCGGTTGATCTGCAAAGTATTAGTATTCCTTTTAAATTATGTGGTCTATATTTACTTGAAAGCGGTTTTCAAACTTTAATTGGTTGGAAAATTTCTTACCGACTTTGACAGTCAGGCTTCCGCTTATGCTGTTGCCCTCTGTGTCTATTAATTTTCCGCGCCTAAAATTGTTTACGCAACATTAAACAAATGCAGCGCCAGCGTAAAAATCGTTTTAAATATACATACGCTTGCCTGGTCTCGTTGCAGAAGGGCAGCATTAGACAGTCATGGCTACATACTTAACTAGGAGTGAGAGGCAATGTGGACGACGCAAGATATCGCATTAGGAATTTAAATTAATAAAATTAAAATGCATGGTGTATGTGGTTGTGTTGTTGTTGCTATTACTGATTCTGCTGCTCAGGGACAGAGCGACGAACGAAGTAATTGGCAACATGGTGAGGCTGACCGCGAGAAAAGAATCTACTGCCCGGGCGCATGCCCCGGGTTGTTAAAGCTGCCACAGCATTTGCATAAAGTATAATGGCCAATATCCTGCTGGCGTTATACGACAGTCGGCATTCAATTTACCGCTTTTTCCCTGGCTCTGCTGCCATCGTCTTTGAACTTTTTCAATTTCTCGTCTTGGCTGTCGTGAAACATTTGTTCCACACTTTATACAAGACGTTTCCGTGCCGCATGTCCAGTTTCTGGTGGTAAGTTACTTTGGTCAATTTTGCATTGGCTCTGTGAATTTTCGTTTCTCCGTCCATATCCATTCGGCTTTGTTTCCTGAAGCTGACCATGGCGCGTATAAATTTGATTCGCTTTTGTTTCTTTTAGCATCAGAAAGTTTATTCCATGAATCAGAGCTAATTAATATACTTTTTCTAGTAGATTTATCAGGAAAACGTTCAAAATGTCATTTTAATGCACTTACTATCGAAATGCCTTCAATAAATGACATGGAATTTCATAGGTGGCAGGTTGCAGTTCTAACTAATGACAACATTAGGTTCAACTAAATACTCATTTTGTGTAGCTTGCTTTTTGTGTGATTTTGATGAATTTTAAAAGAAATTAATCCGGATAATTTGTGGTCTGTTTGTTTGAATTATGTTTGTTTACGCTTACTCGTTTTCTTAATGACGAGAATCAATAAATTAGTTGAAGCAGTTGATGGATAATTATATGTTTTTAAATTGTGCGCAATTATCGATAATTTTAATAAGAAAGAAATTATTGGAAATTTTGTGGTTTTTAATTTAATTTAGATATGGCTAGTGAGCGGTGTGCTGAGTTTCTTTAAATATCCGCCACATAACCGAAGTCGGAGCAAATAGACTTTAGATAGAAATGCATGTCATGCAGTTCAAGATACTTGGCGATTTTTATAGCCGGCTCCAATAGCCGAGTCGATCTAGCCATGTCCGTCTGTCCGTCTGTCCGTCCGTCCGTCTGTCCGTTTGTCCGTATGTATGATCTCAGAACCTATAAGAGCTAGGGACTTAAAATTTTAGATGTAATAATAATATCGATAATCGATAACTTACTCCGTTTCCAAGCAATCGATAAAAAGATTGCCAAGATATCGATATCCTGTTTTTTGGGCAATTTTGGTAAATAATAAGAGCTAGAGTCACCAAACTTGACATATAGCTTCTAAAATAGAATAAATATATGCATTTGATGTTGGAAGAAGAGGGTTCAGGGTATCCCCTTGTTCATATATTTATGCATGTGTATAAAACGGAAGAGTGTAACGCTGAATGGCGACTGCCAAGTCTAGGCCAACCAAATTCTGTCTGCACAGGAACCGGAAACAAGTTTTGCAAGTAGAGAGGAAGGAAGCAGGCGCGCCATTCGAAAGCAACTAAAGATTGTCCTTCTTAGCAAAACCAAATCAAATTCTGCTCGCCATTTTATTCGAAAGTTTTGGAATAACCAGAAAAAAGAGAATAAAAACACCCTTAGTGTTCGAAAGTTACCTCTGGTTTTTGGATTTGCTTACATGTAGGTGCAATTGACGTTCTTAATGACAATGACGTTAATGACCTTCATAAAGGAGAAACCTCCACTCCAATCATTTTTGGTATCCTTTGTATGTAATTCAACATATAAACTAAAATTCAAAACACTAACAATTGCTTGCGCCAACGTAGATACAAGCTGACGCTTTTTTACTTACGTAGAACAAACTCACTGGCCAAAATGAAACCATTTCCCAGCTTTGGTTTTTACCCACGGTGTATAAATACATGTATAAGGCTGTCATCAACAGAGCCAGAAAAATCAGTGCAATCTGTGGAATTAATTGCACTTTTAATTAGTGAGTCTGTGTTTCACATTTTTGTAGGTGAGTGTGGTGGAGCTATTTTATATTTTGAAGTATAGTATTTTGAATACACTTACATAACGAAAGGTAAACAAAATACCTTTATATATTTTTTATACCTTAATACCTTTTATATTTTTTATTCATTTATACAAGGAAAGGTAGACAAAATACTTTTACGGAAATAATAAAAAATGCGGGCGTGTATTTTTATGCCCTTATAGATTGTATTACAAATAAATGTTCCGTATCACATCCGAGCCGATAATATCATGTCCACGTATCCTTCCGTTTAACCGTCTGTCCGCCTGTAAGTTTCTATGCAAACTAGTCTCAGCTTCTAAGCTTCCGCTACGAAGCATAGCATACGTCATATAGTAAATTTCAAGTTTTACTATTGGTTTGGTGTATAGGAACATTCGGGGTGATTAAAAATTTTGTTAAAATCACTTCTCTATTTTATGCCTAAAAGAGTATTTAATCTTCAGCATATCTCATTTCTAGTTTTAATTGTTTTTGCTTGGTTATGCAAAATATACACATATACATAAATATATACATATACTTCTTTTTTTTTTTTATTGAAGTAAATGCCTATTGAAATTGCATAAAATAATATATATTATAATAATAAGTTTAAAGTTATATTATATATAAACTTATTGTATTTTCTTTTCTATAGCCTAACTTTTGTAAATTCGGTTAATATATTAATGTTATGTCGTTTATTTTTTGCAATTTCAATAGGCATTTAATTCAATTTAAAAAAAAAATATATATATATATAAATTAAAATAAATACTTAAAAACCAATGCGTATTTCGCATGTGTTGACTGATGCGGCTCAACGGTATTATTATTATTATTGTTTTAAATGAAAATTAGATTTTAGAATATTGAATGCTCTTTTTAATGGAGGTTTATAACATATACAACAAGTTGCATTTGTATTTTTTCTTGTGAGCCTGTTTAGTCCACACAAACGTTCATATTATTTGAACAATGTTCAAATCATCAATTATCAATGTGTTTGACTGTGCCTTTCGCTGCTGTCGGTTTCCAGTTCTATAAAATATTCGCTCTAAGCATGCACGCTTAATTTGTGTATAATGTGTTCTTTTTTCCCCTCGCTCATTAACTTACGCCGAAGGCCGATTCTTTTGCGCAATTGCCAGCATTTTTTCCTGGACTCCTTCCAACTGTAGGCAGTTTAATGTGTGGTCGCCATTTATCAAAGCTCAAATGGTACCTTTTGTTGAGGACATCAAAGGGTTAAATCTCATTTTGTAAAGTGTGCGATGTAGAAATTTGTATGGTAACGAGTGAGCGTTGTGGCGTGCATTGTGTATGAACAATCCTTCGGCTAATAACTGATACGCGTCGATAAATAAAACCGTATAGAGGGTTCAACTTGAACTCCACATTTTAGTGCGGTTGATAGATAGAGTGTGGCGTACTTCTGAAGCCCATGTCGCATACAATTATTATACAAATTATTATTTTAATAAAAAAACCTAAAATGGCAAGCACCAACTTGTACGGTCCATAATATTTGTATAAGAAGCTTAAGTAGGTCCCATTAGCGGTATTTACTATATATTCAGTAATAACAAGTAAGAGGTTCTAGTCGGGAGCTCCCGACTAGGGGATACCCTGAACCCTCTTCTTCCAACATCAAATGTATATATATATTCTATTCTAGAAGCTATATGTCAAGTTTGGTGACTAGCTCTTATTATTTACCAAAATTGCCCAAAAAACAGGATATCGATATCGATTTTAATCGATTGCCTGGAAACGGAGTAAGTTATCAATTATCGGAAACAAACTCGATCTGCGCGGGAACTAGGAGCATCAACATCTAAAATTTCTCTAGCTCTTATAGTTTCTGAGATCCTTGCGTTCATACATATGGACGGACGGACGGAGGGACGGACGGACGGACGGACAGACAGACGGACATGGCTAGATCCACTCGGCTATTGATGCTGATCAAGAATATATATACTTTATGGGGTCGGAGATGCTTCCTTCTGCCTGTTACATACATTTGGATTTTGCACAAATACAATATACCCTTATACCCATTTTTAATGGGTTCAGGGTATAACAAGTAAGAGGTTCTAGTTCAGGGTATGAAAAGCACTTTTTTATTTAATTCCTTATATATTATATGACCCCAGTTAGCAGTATCGATTGTATCATCTTAATGCAAAATATGCATCATCACATTTCTCCCTATATTCTCTCCCTCAACCTATTCAAAAGCTGTACTTTGAAGTAAATCCTGAGGCGGTTTTATTAGCAGCTAGTGTGTCTCTAAATTGCTTGCATATGTTTTACTGGCGCCCACTCTCCAAAGTTTGTAAAAAAAAAGTTTATTTTGTTTGTCAACCTCGGCCACTGGCTGACAGCTTTACTCAGCTGTGCTTGTGTATTATGTGTATAACAAGAAACTTCAATATTTTTCTTTTGCACCCAACAATAAACAGCAAAAGAGAATGGAGAGAATTGGCTCAAAAGAATGCCAAGCAAATATTAACCCAGGGCTATTCATTAAGTAGTCTTTTGCCCATATGCTTCTGCCTATTCAAGCTTATGTCCTCTAGCTACGTAGCCTTTGCATCATTCGGGTTGTGTACTGATGTACCCAATGTTTGCGTTTGATAAAGGTACCGAAGAGTGGTACTCTGTATACTCACCGTAGTACCATTTGAAGCCTCTTTAAGACGGTTTTATTTACGGTGTATTTAAGATTAAAACTTAACATCTAATTTAAATTCTGGTACTTCTTATTTTAAATATTTCTGGAAAAATTTGTCAGCCTTGATGCCTATAAAAGATTTCTTTCTTTTCGTTTATTATGTCTTCTATCTACAGCTGACGTCTGGAAGCATTAAAGGGTTTAACGTTGGTGCGCTTAGTTGTCATTGCTGTCCCCCTCTGCGTTCTCTATAGGTTTGTTTACCCGTCTGAAAGTCTGGCGTATATAAAACGCACCTGATGTACAAAAATTGCTTAATTGAAACATAAGCCGCAATAATTTTTCCGCCTTCAGAGCCAAAAGACGGTATTAAATTATTCAAATTTGCGCTGTGCATATTAAGAGGCACGTTCGTAGTCCCCGCTGATTTTGTCTGCGTTTTAAAGTTTGTGTAGCAGAATTTTTGCAGCTGTTTACAATTAAAAGTGCCTAAATCAAAATGTACGTCTTGGCTGCAAACTAGAGCTTAACTTCTTTTTATTTTATAACGATCTAAACGATTACAAATAGCCGCAAAACTGTAGCAAACTGACAAAAAGGCATATGAATTTTTGCATCGGGCTGGTTTTGACCGTTTGAGTTATTATAAAGGCGTACTGTCACGCTTTATCGCTTTTCAGATGATTTTTATACCCTGAACCCATTAAAAATGGGTATAAGGGTATATTGTATTTGTGCAAAATCCAAATGTATGTAACAGGTAAAAGGAAGCATCTCCGACCCCATAAAGTATATATATTCTTAATCAGCATCAATAGCCGAGTGGATCTAGCCATGTCCGTCTGTCTGTCTGTCCGTCCGTCCGTCCGTCCATCTGTCCGTCCGTCCGTCCGTCCGTATGTATGAACGCAAGGATGTCAGAACCTATAAGAGCTAGAGACTTGAAATAGAGATGTAGGTGCTCCTAGTGCCTGCGCAGATCGAGTTTGTTTCCGATAATCGATAACTTACTCCGTTTCCAAGCAATCGATAAAAATCTATATCGATATCCTGTTTTTTGGACAATTTTGGTAAATAATAAGAGCTAGAGTCACCAAACTTGACATATAGCTTATAAAATAGAATATATATACATTTGATGTTGGAAGAAGAGGGTTCAGGGTATCCTCTAGTCGGGAGTTCCCGACTAGAGCTTCTTACTTGTTTTTAATTTATTTGATGTTGGAAGAAGAGGGTTCAGGGTATTCCCTAGTCGGGAGCTCCCGAGCTAAGCTGTCACCTTCAAGTTTGCTGTTAGTATTTTGGCTTAGTGTCAAGGATAACATTTTGCTCCATATAACAACCCGAGTATAACAAAATTATCGGAGTGTGACAATGCAGCACGACAAATTCGCGTGTTATCTTAATATTCCCCACATCTGGCGATTTCATAATTTCTGTCAAACATTAAAAAAGATTTCGTAACCGGGCAGAACCGGATAGAAAAATAATCAGCCCGGACCTTTGTTTGCTTGTAACTTTCGTAACTTGTGTAATGCTTTTGTTACGAATTGTGGTTCGTGCTGGTGTTCATGGCCCAAACACGCTATGAAGCTAAAGGTGGTGAATCAGTGTGGTGCGTAGCATCTCAATTCGTTACGGGTGGGTAGTTATCTTAAGACTTTGGCGAATTCGTTTTTCTCGTGATTTCACAGTCTCCAAAACCCAAGCGACTGTTTGTGGCTTGGACGTTGTTGCTACACTTGAGCTCTGAATTTTTAACAAGGTAAACATTGATATATTAACTGTACATTTCGAGGTCTACTTAAGAACCATCATCTGAAATTAAAACATCATTAAGTAAATAAATTTCAGTTAGATAATCTAAGCAAGTAAGAGGCTTTTTTTGGGAGTTCCCGACTCGGGGATACCTTAAACCCTCTTCTACCAACACAAAATAAAGCTCGCAGTAAGAATGAGTTCGCCTTAGCAAAAATAAAAAATAATAATAATTTATTTTAAGAAAAAATAAGTTTTTTCCAATCGAACTCGAGCCCGTACCTTTGCTCGCCACCACCTCTACTCGACAGCCATGAAGACAATTTGTTGTCCAAGGAAAAAATGAATTAAAATATCAGCACATGCATACAGCACAGCTGTTGATAGAATCGTTAACCATACAACATATAGATGGAAAGCTCGACGAAAAGTTTGTAGCCATTCATTTTTTAGATTTTTGGTCATTAGTCGACTTCGTTTTTGTCCGGGTCGGAGTAAGAAGTCCGCATGGCTTGTCAGATAGAACGACATCGCTGTTTTTTGGTTCGCTCACATTACCGGTAACTGTTTTTTACCCTTGGTGCTCTCAATGCTCTCTCATAATGTCTAGGGATTCTTTAAATGTATGTGTGTGTAAGTCCATATCCGCACAAGCAATAATGCTCACAAATTGAATTTTCCGGGCAAGGCCAGGGTATACGCGCTAGCATAATATATACTATTCAGAAATCTACATATCAAAATTGGTGACTGTAGCTCTTATGATTTATGAGATTGATTTTTATCGAAACGGGGCAAGCTATCGATTATCGGTACCCAATTCGTACTGGGCGGGCAGCAGGCGGACCTAAATTCCAAATTTCAATGTCTGTAGCTCCTTCCGCTCTTATATACGGACGGAACCAGTACCATAATGCTGTCAAATAAATGTGTTTTTAATGTAGTTTTTAAAAATTATATTATATTGCAGCTATAATATTCTTTTAGTAAGTCTATTATATGAGTTTATTTATAATAATTATTATATTGGTTTTTTCCGTATTAATCCCAATCCTTAGAATTTTTTGTAAAAAATGTCTACAATATGCAGTTTTAAATTGCTTCTGTAAAGAAAACTCTAAAAGCCTCGGACTAACTCAACTTTTGTAAAAAAAAATTAATATAAATACTGAATGTAGCTGCAGCATGAAACTTTTCCAATCTGGACACAGACCACACAGAGGTGCACAGCACGATGTGAAATGCTCGAAACTACATCCTGCACAAATCCCAATATTCGGGGGTCGCCTTGAGCAATCTTGTGCACACGAATTATACAAAATAGTTATCCCCTTGTCCAGTTGTCGCTAGTTGTTCATATACATTATCACTCACTACAAAAATCAAATCTCACACAATTTGCGTTTTTCCCGTTCCTTACTTAAATACCTTTAGAGCATTTCATATATTGTGCGGTTGGCAGCAAAATGTGTACCTAGGTTAGGCATCTGATCCTGGTCTAGGCTCTAATTATCGTCACCTAAATGATGAACAAAATGCTGATACAACCTTTTTGTAATGCGGAGCATTGGGCTACACGTTTTGACAGGATACCCAGATTGTAGCTTATAATAAGAACATGAGGTTAGAAAAGACAGATAATACTAGTGCTCAAAGGTCTCACGTCAACAGAAGGTTCAACAGAAGGTTCAGGCAGGGCGAATTCGAAGAACGAGCAATGTTTCTGGTCATTTTCGCTGTTATTATTAAGGTTTCTCATATTTAAGTTGCCGCCTTCAGCCTTCAGTAGGCATCGTGTAACACCGAGCAGCATGCTGTGTTATTCACAAGCCCGATTTTGTTGGTCCGTACGTACCGGTCTTCCGGTCGTCCGGGTGTCTGTCATTACAACAGCGTCTCCTGCTTGACAGCAGCGGCGTGGCAAAGTCGTAAAGTACATTTTTTAATTAGAGTCACGAGTAAAACAAAGCAATTAGTAGGGCTGTCAGAGCAATCCCTTTACTTTCCCCTCTGTCCCTCCCAATTTCTCCGTTCTGTCCCGTGTTTTTAATTTTCTGTCCAAATTTTCGCGCGGGCGTGTGAATTATTAAAAAATAAATTACGTAAAAAAATAAATTAAAAGACCGGAAGCCGGCGGGTCAAACCGTTCTCAAACCTTTCCACTGTATGACCTGGAAGTAACACTTGGTTACCATTAGTGGTTACTCGAGTTGAGTAGTTGGTTGTCAAGTATGGCTTTATAATAAAGACTCTAAAAAAAAACAAAGCTGTCTGACACTGTGGGGCCGCTTATAGAAAATTCGATCTTGTACTTCATGCATCTCCCCCGCAAATTAACAAAATCCAAAAATCTAGAGTCACATAATAAAATGGAACAGAGTATGCCACAGTCGGCAGCTCTCAACTGCATAGTGCTTACCTTTTGATTTAGTTTTTAATTTATATTTTGGTTGAATCGAAATTTACTAAAGTTTCAGAAGACAAATAAAAGAAAAAACTCGCATAACTCTTGGTCTGAAACGAAGAGTGCGCCAGGCTCTGGTTTGAAAGTTTTGAACTTGCCCACAGTCGCGTGGCTTACAAAAAACTAAGTTATTAGCACCAACTGTTTTCTGTTGGAGGCGCGGCTGCAGCTTGGTTGTTGCGGGTGTGGTCTGCTACTTGTTGGTGTGGCAGGCAGTCAGCTTTTAGTTTATGTTTACTGCATTTTGTGTGTGAACGTGCGGCAAAAATTTTTGCGTTGCTTTGACCAAGCACTATGTGAAGCACATTGACATTTTCGGGTAGTTGGTGGCCTAGACCCAGTGAATTTAAGCAATGGGTGCACTGTATGAAAGAGTGTCGCCGATACCATGCTCCGGTTGTTGCTTGCTTTAGTTTCTGGTTGCAGCTGCAGCATCCGCCGTTTACAAAATTTATTACACTTGCACTTTGCAGAAAAATATTTGTGGTTCTGAGCATTTACATTTTATTTTTCGAATTTAATTCTTGGTTATTTTATGAAGGTTGTAAGATTTATCATACGATCTGGCATTTTGTTAGTCAGAATAACGAATGCCAATAGCATACACAGGTATCTTACTTTTTATACCCTTGCAGAGGGTATTATAATTTTGTCGTGAATTTGTAACGCATAGAAAGAGACATCTCCGACCCCATCAAGTATATATATTCTTGATCAGTATCAACAGCCGAGTCGATATAGCCATGTCCGTCTGTCTGTTTCTATGCGAACTAGTCCCTCAGTTTTAAAGCTATCTTTATGAAACTTTGCAGAAGTCCCTCTTTCTGTTTCATATGTCAAAACCAGCTGGATCGGACCACTATATCATATAGCTGCCATAGGAACGATCGGTCGAATACTAGGTTTTTGATTAAAAACCTTTTTTGTTTATCAAGATATCTTGACCAAACTCGGCATTAACTATTTTCCCTGTGCTTCTTAGATACGGGCAAAGCACTATATGCATTAAGAAAAGGTTGGGTCTGCAAGGGTATAAGATATGCGGCGTGCTGTAGATAGCCTTTCTTTGTCGTTACTATTAAAGTTTAAGTACAATATACGATGTACGCTTATGTTTCTTTTAGGAAAAGAATGTGCTAATGTTATTGACGTAGTTAAAGTTTCGCTTTAATAAAAATAAACACAAGATGTCAGCAAATAAAACGAATCCAAATGCTGCTACTAATCATTTTTTGTCATTCTGACAACTCACAATATCTTTAAGAGTTATAAGTTTTATGATTCAGTTATTGCGAAACTATTGCTAAGAGCTTGGAGCCACACTTAATTCTCTTAATTCATAGTATTATTACTCAGTCTGATGGCTATGCGCAAAGTTAGTAGAGTCCTTCTGAAGGCAATTGAAATCTCCTTGCGAGGTTAGTTACACTATAGAAGCACTTGAAACGAGTTGCCAAATGGAATGAAACGACGCACAAAAATTAAACTGTATTGATTTATGAAGGCGGGGTGTGTCGTGTGGCGCTCTAAAAAACTTTATCCTGCAGTATAGAAAAACTGAAGGCGAGTGCGACCAGGCAGCCGGGCAGTGGTGGGTGACTTGTTCAAAGTTCAATGAAGTATGGACTACTCGTCTCTAGCCAAGTGCGCAACCAATAAGTGGCGGAAGTTGCTTCGTCGCTTGGCAGGTTGAAACTTTGTCAAAGTCAAACAAAAAGTCGCTGAGCATTCACAACAGTCAGGGTATCTGTGAGGGTGTCAACTCGTCTGGCATTAGCAGTGCATTAGTCGATGGTACATTATTAATGTTCAGTCGTTTGATTTGTATACTTGTTTGGTTTTATGTGTGTTCAGCCCAACCTCAATACTAATTGGGTTGGATTATTCGACCAACACAAAAGTAGCTTTGACTTGATCGCACCTGGCCGTTTCATGCCTGTGCCAATTATTGTATAGAGATAAGTTTTAACGTGTGCGTGTCAGTTTCTTTAGCTGTATTCGACCCTACCGACTGACCCCGTGACCTGTTGCATGACGCTACAAACCGCGGCGGGAAGTTAATTACTTTGATTTATTTGTAAATTATTTAGCTGCTGTACGATGCTTGTACGTGCGTGGCTTGTCACAGATTTCAAATTGCACTTAATTACGATTTCATGTACGTACAAATTAACAAAGTTGCGTAGGAGTGAGTTTAGCTGGCTTGTAAATCGACCGATGAGTACACACATTTAAAGAAAGTTTAAAATTATCAATAACAAATGGAAAAAGTGAATCGCACACTTATAAGAGAAAATAGTAAAACCTTACCGTTGAGTTGTAAAGATAAAAACATATTCAGTAGTAACGATATTATCTTTATTAAACTAAGTTACAGCCGCGAAAATTGTGAAAACGAGGGTTTAGCGATGAAATCGCCCGAAAAAGGATTACTAATGAAGCAACGAAACTAAAACTATTAAATATAAAATGTATAATGTCAAATAAATCGATTATAACATCATTTAATTTGAATTGCAACAAACACATTTTGTAACAAGTAAGAGGTTCTAGTCGGGAGCTCCCGACTAGGGGATACCCTGAACCCTCTTCTTCCAACATCAACTGCATATATATATTCTATTTTAGAAGCTATATGTCAAGTTTGGTGACTCTAGCTCTTATTATTTACCAAAATTGCCCAAAAAACAGGATATCGATATCGATTTTTATCGATTGCTTGTAAACGGAGTAAGTTATCGATTATCGGAAACAAACTCGATCTGCGCGGGAACTAGTAGCATCTACATCTATAATTTCAAGTCTCTAGCTTTTATAGGTTCTGAGATCCTTGCGTTCATACATACGGACGGACGGACGGACGGACGGACGGACGGACAGACAGACGGACATGGCTAGATCGACTCGGCTATTGGTGCTGATCAAGAATATATATACTTTATGGGGTCGGAGATGCTTCCTTCTGCCTGTTACATACATTTGTATTTTGCACAAATACAATATACCCTTATACCCATTTTTAATGGGTTCAGGGTATAAAAACGATTTTATGATCATGTACCCTATAGATGCTGTTAAATATGCTAGTCACATTGTCGCTGGTTTTTGCACAACATCAGAACATATCTTTTGAGCTTCCGTTCTCAATATTTACGCTTGGTTTCTGCTTGAACTTTATTATTAGAAAAGTTTTAATGTATTTGATAAAGGCACGAACAAACCTAAAGCAGAACAATCAAACACAGCAGAAAAACAACTTATACATGAACTGTACAAGTATGCATCCATGTTTACTATGGTGAAATGTGGTTCGAATTGTTGTGTATATCGACTCAATATCTAAGTATAATATACCTAGAAAATCGAGAGCTGATGACTAATACAAGAACAATGTCAGCTTAGTGTTTGGCAAGGTCAGTCGAAATGTTTATTCATATTTCACAATTTACATACACAAAGAACTTAAATCATAAGCTTCTACTTCTTGTTGTGTAACTCAACTTAGTTTCGCTTTTATATTTGCCCCAGTTACTCCGTCCGTTGGCGTTTCTTGTAGCCGTTGCTTGCGAGCTTTGCGTACGTAGGTTTTGTAATAGAAGTCGAAGAATAGTGCAAACATGAAGACGTTCTGAATAAAGCCGATAAACGCGATGAAGACAGGAAATTGACAAGGATTGCGAACGATCACAAGTAAAAAGTGCAGTGATAAGTAGCCGAACTGAACCAGCTGCAGCTGCGTGATATGCCGCTTCCACCATAGCATCTGTTTCAATGCCCCCAGTGAGGTGGCAAAGTAGTAGGCGTACATTACAGAGTGCACCAGGAGGTTGATCAAGCCAAGCATAGTGCAATGAGAGCCCGCTAAGAAGGTCATAAAGATCGAAACACCGAAGACCATGCCAGCGTGGTGATATACATGTAGAAAGCTCACCTGGGAGTTCTTCTTGCGCAATACTATGAAGACCTGAAATAAATTGTGAGTTAGATAATTCAGAGACGTTCTGCTTTAAATGGCCTTGTGTCACTTACAGTATCTAGGAGATCTAGATATTTGAGAATATAGTAGCCATAAGAGGCATACAGCAAGTGCATCATTTGCGGCGTTCTATTGAGATGTTCGACAGGCTGGCAGATAAAGCTGAACTCAGGTTGGAATAAGGTGTAGGTAATCCCGTAGACAAATATGATTGAATTTGCCACAACCTGAATAACGTTGTATAGCTGCATCACAAGTTTCAGCTCAAAGGGTCGCCGCTTTTCCATCCATTTGGGCCCAAAATATAGTACAAATGCCAAATAAACGACGATAACGAAAGCCACACTCCACAAATTGCCAGTGAGCGGTAAATGTGCTACGCGTGGATCTTTGTGCAGTTCGTACAGATCTCGCAGCATATAAAATAGATAAGCTACAACGTTAGGCGCCATTTCAACTCCCACACTGTCACAGGATTCTGGCTTTCCTTTCGTTCGTTCCTGTTCGAATTTTCAAAATAGGCGTCAGCGTTTGCACACTTCGAAAGTCAGTATTCATCTGAGCAATAAACACTAACATGGCCACGTGTTGAAGTTTGCGACCACCATATACCTCTGTCCAACGCTTGATATGGTAATGACCGCTAAATGAGAAGCATTACTCTCGCCCAATTGACCTATGCAAAGCGTCGGCAGCATTACCTGCCGTGGAATATATGCGAGTGGCATTGGCCACGGCGACCAACAATGACAACTATGACGACAAACTATGACGTTTTACGTTCTGGAAGGTATTTATATACATTGTTTTTCTGAAACAAGCAATGGTTGAGATTTTATTTGACTTTCTGGTAATGCGTTACCTGAACGCGTGATAATGATTTTAACTGCTTTTGCACAAATTGAAAGGCTATTTACCGAATCTTGTGTTAGACGGCCATTCTGGACACTCTCAAAGGGTCAGCCACGACCTTGTCTGCGCAAGCGTCTTGCATGACCTTGTTGCTGTGCAGAATTTTTGGCTAAAGACCATCATTTGCATTTTCTTCGCAGCTGCGGAATATGACAATAAACAGGCTGCAGCTCATTTACACAAATAAGCTATAACCGCATGACTGTTGGCGGCCATTTCCATCTAGCATGCTCGCTGTTGGATTGCGCTTGGACTCGGGTACAGTTCGTCGGCAATGTAAAGGGCCGCTGGTAGTGTAATAACCATAATGCCGACGTTTATGGCCACAGCAAACAACAAAAATAATAATGGTAATCATTTTGCCGTTCGCTGGAAGTATGCAAATATACGAGACGACTACGATGATGGCCATGGCGATGTCGATTCAGTTACACAAGGCATATGGCGTGAGAAGGCCGTGAACTGCTTCAAGGATATGGTCAGGTGTTGGGTGGGATTCGCCAAACACCAAGTCTACAACCTTGAGTTCTGTTCTACAAATGATGCGTTAATGACACATACATATATATAGAAGTAAACAGCGGGCCGAAAGCAAATATACTGGCAATGCGAACGTGTCTTACCGAGCCATTTTCTGTGTGTGTCTGCCGGTAATCATGGTTCACTGAATGAAAATAATAATCTCTTTCGGCAGGAAATGAAGGGAAATTCAACAGGAAGCTTTCGTGACGTGCCGCAAACATTCCATGTAAATAAACCAATTCTTTTAGTACTAGTGCCTATTTGTGTGGCAGCCTCTTTCGAGGCATTGAAGAAATAAATTTAATTATCTGGTTTCTATAATTTAATTTTTTAAGCTTTTGTGTGTTCAACTCTGATTGTTGACCTAAAATGTTGCCTACCTACACGGTATTTCCGGATTTGAGTTACTCGAGTAGAGCTTTCTTATAAATGTATTGCCTTCATCATGTTATTTTGATGTTGGTGTTTTTTTGCGCTCGCCATATTCCCTGTCGCACTTAGCAATGCAACTGCCAAGTGTAATAAGTTAACTGAAATTAGTAATTGCTTTTAAATTACTAAGATTTTGACTGTGTTTTTCGCAATCGCATCTGATTTTCTAATCAACTCTTTATATACAATGTATTTGAATATTTGCTTTGATTAGTAAAATAGATAGTAGATTTTTCTTGAAAATATATTTCTTTTCAGCATACCTTATTTTTCTTGTCGATTAAGTTATCACCCATCAACAGGCGGTGTTAATATTAGTTTGCGTAAATGAGAGTCCAGTCTCAGCTCTGTTTATCAATCATTCTAGCGCTGTCAAAGTAAATCCCCTGGTAATAAGATATTTATTTCTATTTCCTCGCGGATATTTTATTATAATTTTTCTTTCCTTTTTGATTGCGCCATTGCATTTGTATATACGAATGCGTTAATACAAACAGAGAGATATGGTAAAAGTGTACATAGTTACACGGAATTTCAAATCAATGGCCTTATTCCGTTAAAGCCAAGCGAAGGACACACGTAAATTCGCCTTATGTTGGTTGTTCTATAAAGCTATGTCCCCTTTTAGGGTGACAGCCATAAGAGCAAACCAAAGAAACAAAAAGGCAGTAATAGAAACGATTTCGTAAAAATATGACAAACAATCAAAACGTATTCGAAAAAACCACAACACAGCCAACAAAACTTGCCAGCTGAGCCCGAGATTTGCTACCCAGCAGCAGACCCAGCAAGGCAGCCTAGTCAGCCAGAGTGCTGGGCGGTGTTGTAGTTAATGGAGATGAGGCGCGGCCGGCGTGAAGTAGGAAAAATAGCTTTGCCGTTCGTTGCACAGAGGAGGACTGATGAAAATTTATTGCTGCCAACATACCCATAGGGATTCGCAAATATAATACTACAACCACAGCGGGGCGGATCCAACAGTTGGACAGATGAGCGCGCGAACAGATGGCAAGAAGGCGTCGGCGGCGGCGTCGGTGTTGGCAGAGGTAGCAGCGATGTCGGTAGCGAGGCGACTGCATACAAACACGTACAACATGTCATGCAGTTTGCCCGGTCCCTTGTTGTTGCCTGGATCTGAATCTGGATCTGGTCTATGCGCTCGTTGCTATGCTAACATGTTTGTAGTGAGTGTGTGTGGAATGTGTGTTGGGATTGTAATGTCTGTACGCTAGATGGGCGTGCGTACGGCAAAACTAAACCTATGAAAAATTCTACAAAGCAAAACATATAAAATGCGGTTTTCGCAGCACTCCGCTGTGAAGAAATCTGTAAAAAAATCTGTTAAAAATATATATATGTGTGTGTGTATGACAGCTAGAACATGCTGCTTTACCCTCTGCCTCGACTTCTATTCAATCTCATATAGTGTTGTACATCGTGCTCAGCTTAGCCGAGCTGCATGCACGCACTCTTCATGTTTTGTTATGAAAATTTAAGTGAAATCACTAAAAATGCCAAACAAAACTGCCAGATATGCAGATATACGGCGCAGGGAGCGGGGATAAACGTATGTGTATTTGTTGTTGGTGCAAAAGAAAGCCTTCGGGTGGAACGCGTTTCCTGGCTATGTTTCGTGTGTTCTTGATGCTGTTTTATTTACGCTATTAGAGTACATTTATGAAAAACTGTAGTCAGTTTATAAAATGTGACTCGATGTGAGTTAATGTGCTTCCTTTAAGAACAACCGAATGGGTTGTGTAGTGCAACACTTTTTTCAGTAGGCGACAGCTGCTGTTTTTGTCACAGGACGATATCACTTGTAAAATGGGTCAAACAAAGTTCATGTTGCACGATTCTCTTATAGTGCCGGACTGTTGTGCTATAAAAAGTTTTCAGCTAATGGTTTTGGCTACTCAATAAACATTTGTCAAGGACGCAGTACGCCCACCCAAGGCGATGCCGCCAATTTGCTACGGGCATACGTCCGTCCTTTGCTTGGCTGGTTGTGAATCGTACGTCCTTCTATATGTCGATGTCAATAGCTACGTTTTATTACCTTGTCCTTTGCATCCAAAACAAAAGCACCGAAAAAAGCAACGCAGCGGGAATGGGTATGACACTCACAAAGCTAGTTCAAAAATTTATGATCAGTGACAAAAGCACATTCCCACCTGTGATATACCTTAACTGCTGCTCACTTTGTGCGTCTGTAATGCTGTTATTGTTGTGTGCTTTGTTGCTTTCGTTTTTTTCTCAGTGTACACGCCTTTTCAGTGCCATTGTTACACACACGCCCCGCCTCCAGGTCGACAGAAACGTTGGCAATTCCACGGTGCGCCACGCATCGATGGCCCTTTTATGCGCTTCGCAGTTTTCACATTTTTTGTGCGCGTTTGCCTTGGATTTTTGCGATAATGGAGACAAATGTTGGGCTCTTAAATTTATCGATTGGTTGGTTTGTAAAAGTTGCCAAGGAAAAATATTGGCCTGGCATGTGAATTTGTTTTTATAGGTAGGTTAGCTGTGCATGTGATTCCATTCCAAGCGCTGCACAGATTTAATGCTTTAAGTCGATCAAAGTCCAACGACACACCTGATCTTTCAATTTATTTCTTGTTTTTCATTGCCTAATAGAAGAAAAGCAAAGTCGACGCTCGATAGCAAACAATGAATTGCGCTCTGCCCAAGATAAACTTGCGCCAAGATAAGCCAACTATTTGTGCAATGTACCCTGTTACCTCGTTGCTCTTGGCCACAGATCCGAAATTTACAATTCGCCCGCCGGCCTGCCTGTAGAAACTTTCAAATTGAAAGTTCATCGCATTTAGGCAGCTGTTCGTTCCGGCTTGGGACTGGGAAGACGCATCTGGCAGGCAAATTTTTTGGACATTTGTTGGTCTCCCTCTCTGCGTATATACGTATCTGCATCCATATCTGCGATGCTTGAATTTGTGCACTCTTTGTAAAGATATTATAGGGCGCCAGCCAGCAGCAACAACAGCATGTGCTTCGGATTAACTATCAGATAAACGCAGCATCTGTAGTCTGTTTGCTTCAGAGAACTTTTAATTTTTCGTGCTCACGCAATTGCAGCGTTGTGGTCCGGGTTAGGCGATTAGGGCTTAACGTTAAACACTGCAACGTGCTGAAGGTCCTCGGCGACCGGATTTATACAGCGTTACATTGGCATTTAAATAGGGTCGGGATTGTTGTACCAAGCGCGTTTTGCAAAGTATTTGCTTTTATGTAAAATTATAAATGCTACTTAGGTTGATGCGGCAAATAAAACAAGTAGTAATGCCTCTTGTCGAAAAAGCTTAACTAGGAAATACCCAGTATCAGAATACTTAAATTACCCTTTTCAAACAAAAAATAAGTAAGAGCTTCTAGTCGGGAGCTCCCGACTAGGGGATACCCTGAACCCTCTTCTTCCAACATCAAATGCATATATATATTATATTTTAGAAGTTATATGTCAAGTTTGGTGACTCTAGCTCTTATTATTTACCAAAATTGCCCAAAAAACAGGATATCGAAACAGGATATCAAAAAATCGATATCGATTTTGATCAATTGCTTGGAAACGGAGTAAGTTATCGATTATCGGAAACAAACTCGATCTACGCGGGAACTAGGAGCATCTATATCTATAATTTCAAGTCTCTAGCTCTTATAGGTTCTGAGATCCTTGCGTTCATACATACGGACGGACGGACAGACAGACGGACATGGCTAGATCGACTCGGCTATTGGTGCTGATCAAGAATATATATACTTTATGGGGTCGAAGATGCTTCCTTCTGCCTGTTACATTTGGATTTTGCACAAATACAATATACCCTTATACCCATTTTTAATGGGTTCAGGGTATAAATATAACGTTAATGCATGTCCGATGATCACGAAATTTCCAGCCAACAGTGGCTTGGGGAAATAAAATATTCAATCATTATTTTTCCAGTACCTTTAATCCTTCCTTTAATTACTCACTTTAAAGGTATAGGGTACACAAAATGAGGAGGGAGAAATATTATAGATATAAACATGTGAATGTACTGGTACAGGTTAAATGCATAAGCTCAGGCGCAGAGTACCCATCAGTTCCCTTCCCATTGAAAAACACTAAAATGCCTGCGGGCTCATGCTTTTAGTGGCTTAGAGCTGCCTTTGTTCGCCGGCTGGGCAATATATATATATATATGTATATATATTTGTAAATATATATATATTGTACCTACAACTTGGTCTGAAATTACTCGCAACTAACTGCGAATCACTTACCTCGATTTGAAGTGGTGGCATCGGCGTAGCAGAGGGCGGAAAGCAGACATCCTAGGCTAATTACAATCAAAATGGGACACTTCATTTTCAGCGGCACTTGGTTGCGGGGTCGACTGCACGCTGAGGAAGTCGCACCGCTCCCGTGGCGTATGCTACCCGAAATTATTTTCATTGTTTTATCCCGTGCTACGTATACGCACCCCTCTTTTAAAATTGGTTGAAGTGGTCTCTTGTGCGGCGCGAGATGTTTCCCGTAATTGATATGGTATGTGAAATACAATGCGCTATTTCGTGTCCTCTTTAAGTTTTAATTTATTAGAAGCTTACATACTTTGCATTAAATTCCAGCGCTTCTGGCACGCATCATTCCTTTTTGCTCAATTTTAGTTTTATTTTATGTTTTTTTCAAAAGCGCTCTTTGCTTTTCCAACTAATTAGCAACTAGGCACTGAACCACATGCGTTTTCTGTATTGCATACGTTCACTTTGCCTTTGACAGATTTTATTGTGTGTTCTATTAAGCGCCCAACGTTTAATTGTCCTTGACGCTTTTTAAACAAAAGAGAGTGTAAATTTTAAAATGTTATTAGTAAATTATATAGGTAATACAGGTAATATATAAATGATTTTGTCCATTAATTCAGAGGTTATAAACTTTTGTTCAGTTCTCAGTGCTCAGCTCAGGCAAAGAGTTGACACTGAAAATTTTACCACAATTTTACTAAATTTACAAATTTAATATATGCGCATTTAAGAAGTTCTCAACAAGTTCGAAAATCCCATATTTTACGAAATTAACGAGGAAAGCTTTAAAGTGCCTGACGGAGACGGGGGGCCAAAGTAAACTAAACTTCAACGCTAAAGCTCATAGCCAAATAACGAATTGCTCTTAAGGACATACTCTTGCATGTGCACACATGTACACTTGGGCCCCTCTTAGCACGCTTCTATTATGATCTACCCGCTGTCATATTTAAAGGCGAAGTTTTGTATAATTTAATGAGTTTGTTTTTCGTAATAGGCCAGCAGAAGGACCGAGCTGGACAGTGCATGTGCGGCCTGAGGGTGTGCCAAAGAAAAACAACTAAGCTGAAAAGTTCAAATTATTTCATTATCACTTCCATGCAGGGCAAAACTCAAGTGCCAAAGAGGCCAGAAAAAGTGCTTTATAGCTATACAATTTTTTATACCCTGAACCCATTAAAAATGGGTATAACCCTGAACCCATTAAAAATGGGTATAAGGGTATATTGTATTTGTGCAAAATCCAAATGTATGTAACAGGCAGAAGGAAGCATCTCCGACCCCATATATTCTTGATCAGCACCAATAGCCGAGTCGATCTAGCCATGTCTGTCTTTCTGTCTGTCTGTCTGTCCGTTTGTCCGTCTGTCCGTATGTATGAACGCAAGGATCTCAGAACCTATAAGAGCTAGAGACTTGAAATTTTAGATGTAGATGCTCCTAGTTCCCGCGCAGATCGAGTTTGTTTCCGATAATCGATAACTTACTCCGTTTCCAAGCAATCGATATCGATATCCTGTTTTTTGGGCAATTTTGGTAAATAATAAGAGCTAGAGTCATCAAACTTGACATATAGCTTCTAAAATAGAATATATATATGCATTTGATGTTGGAAGAAGAGGGTTCAGGGTATCCCCTAGTCGGGAGCTCCCGACTAGAACCTCTTACTTGTTTTTTTTTTGTTGGAGGCAAGACGCGGCTGCTCATAAAAATAAAGTTATAAATTTAGATAAGCCCATGCAGCCGATACTACTTCCGTGAGGAAAAAGCAGTCGGGGAACGCGACTAGTTCATTCTTACACTCGTCCATTCGGTTCAGCCACAAGGGCGAGCACGAAACCCATTAAAGTCACTGCGCTTCTGACGTTGTATGCGTGTTTGAGAGTACGCCATGTATAATTATCTATCGTATTCATTATTGCCATGGGCAGCCAGTGCTTGTTCGACGGCTTGGTATCAGGAAGACCCTACGCAGTGCACCCTAGTGCCTGCCCGTTGCTTCGCCGCATGTCCTGGAGGAGCAATAAAATTTTTGTATCCATTTTGTACGCTACACAATCGACTTGAAGCTTCGTAGGTGGTGTACCATTTATTCGCTGGCCATGTAATTACTCAAAATTATTCCAAGTATTTTGCAGAAGTGGAGTGAACAGAAAGATAAGAGTTTTATATGCTTTGGCCTATACAACCAAAAAGCTCTTATCATGTAGGCGGTAAAGAGTCATAAATAAACAGACCGGCAACGAAACGGTAGAAGAGGGCAAACTGTCGACGCCATAGCCATTGTCCATTGTCATTTTTGCAGCCACCTTGGCTAGTCCAGCATTAGTTGATGTTGTTGCTGGCCGTGGTTATCAATTTTATGGGTGCTCGGCCTCCAGATTTATTGCAGAGCGTCGCTTATTTTTAAGTAAAATTCTGCTTTCTCCTTAGCTTGGAAAAAATGTTCTCTAAATAATTTGGTGTTGTATTTCGCTGTTGACTTGTCTTCGTTTCTCCGCAGTCATTTTTTCGTGAGACTTCACCGTTCCTTATTTTTGGGCTATTCATTTGATATCTAACCTTAACTAATTGCGACTTTCGCTTTCAGAAAACTGTGTCCGGCGGGCTCTTTGTAGCTGTGGCTGTTGGACGTATAAATTGCCCTTTGCCGAATAATTTCAAGCTACAAGTTGCATGCGCAATTAGTTTTAGCTGGTTTCACTGTTAAACTGATTTTCTGTCAGCAGGCGCTGAGCGCCAGTGGGACGTGAATAAAAACGAAACAAGAGCAACGGAAAGGAGAAGCCACGTCTTTGTCAGTTAGTTTCTGTGGTCGACAAGCGAAACTTTAAAATGGGTTAATTGCATTGTAAACTAGACAAACAAATGTCAAACAAGTGCCGTAGAAACTGAGCAGCAAAACAACAAACACTGCTGAGCAGCTTCGGTATTCGCAAGAGCCTGGTGCAGATTCGATTCAAACAGCTGATTTTTATTTTTTAATCCACCGCGGTTGTTTTATAGGATGCCTTGCAACTGAGCGAGCTGCGAAGTGCATAATTAAAATTAGCAAAACCATGTTTAAAAGTCTGCTAAAGACGACAACCAACCAGCAGAGCTCATTTCATGCTCTGCTGCAAACGCTTTAAGCAGAATTGGTTGGCAGTTTAATCAAGCCAGTAGCCCATGCATCAGCAACGACCTTACTCAAATATGCAAGCCTAACCCCTGGCGAACAGAAAACATGTATTCACAGCGTAATTCTGTATGATGAAGGCCATTACTCAGTCCGCTAAATTTGTTAAAATCAGATTGAGGACGAAATGTTGCCTGTGCACTATTTTAATATTGAAATTATACATACTTCAAGAGCTAGCAGAAAAAAACGACGCATACAAGAGCTTAGTTCAAAGTTCAAGCTATGCCTTTTAAAAACTTCGCCAAGTCAAGGGGTACTGACACTCCAACAATGTGCGGAGTTGGCACACACGCTTGCATATGCTGACGCAGAGGCCTAATATGTTGGTCTTGTTGAAACATTTATCGGCTAAAGAACTTTTTTACAAAAGATCTCGATAAAAGATTATTAAAATTTTCCAAAAGAGTGGCACAAGTTCACTGCAACAGTTCTTCAAGTGCTTGCGGGCTGCAGGTTATCTGCAGTCTCTGTGTCCCACAGATGCATACTCCACTTCAACCTAAGTACATCTGCGTCTAAAAAGTTTGTTGTCAGTCTCCATGTTTCAAAAGCGATGAATGCAGTGCATATCAAGTTCTCAAGTTCACTCGCGGATTTTCCTGAGCGGTGCGACATAGACATAAATATAATAAAATATTTGCCTTTCCTCCTTATGTCTGGCAGCAAGTTAGAAGGATAAGGCAGCTAGACTGCCCGCCAGCGACTGGTCACCTACCAATGGATCGATATATGAAATATGAAAAAATACCTTCACCATATTAAGTATATATATGATGGTTGATGTTAGCTTTAGAAACGTATTTTGCCTGCGCCTTGCTTGCTCGAAACCAGTCGGCTAATCCTATGCATTTTTGCTGAAGCAAACATAATTCATCTTTTATGTACAGTGCGCTGGTCCTTGCCGGCGTGGCACCTATGTAGTTGAAGTATGTATTGGTATACAAGCCTGGGGCTATGGATTCACTTAGCAATTACTGCTTTATTTTTTATGCCGAAATGAATTATCCCTTACCGCCACGGGATGCAATTTCTGCTTGCGTTGCTTTTTGAGCTGTTCACAATATTCTTCTATGAATAGCACTTGAGTTTGCCCCCATTGTTACCTGCCCCTATGCTTGTTGCCAACGCGCTTATTTGATGTCAACGTCATAAACGTTCAGTGATGCCTTAAGCGGAAATAAACACGATTGCAAAAACAACAACGTGAATGTTGTCTGTGTGTACACCGTGGCGAGCGCTTCGGTACCTTTTACATTAAGTCGTACAGCTATTTTCAATATCAATCTATTAATAATCTTTTGAATATAATTTAATAATTTAATTTACCTATATGCATATAAGGTTTTATTTAAATATGGCACTGCTCAAATATAAAATCTAGCCTTGCGACCAAATATCGAATACAACTAAATCCATAAATCAAACAAAATGACAGCGAAATAATTGCTAACATAAAAACAACAATTGAAGTCATTATAATAAATTTATAAAATGAAAAAAGTTATTTTAGAAAGTGAAAATGACAGTCAGGATTTTGAAAAAGTTCAACAACACGAAAGTTACATGAATTTGTGACTTTGCTTGACACTTGTAAAAGGTAAATATTGAAGTAAATATTGTTAACGAACGCAAAGTGAAGAAAACATACTGAAACTAACCAGCTGTACGGAAAAAACGCTAATGAAAAAACGCATATTTTCGTACGCGAAATAATTTACCACTTTCTTTAATATTGAAAATAAATCTTTATGCCACAAAACGTTACGCAGCACAAATACTGATAAGGCATTGAAGGGAAAGGCTTCTTCTGAAGTAGCACAATTCTAGTACTTTTTCCTATCTTTTTTCTTTTACAGGTAAGGCATGAAAATATGCATGACCCGGTACATACTTACAAAGCAAAATCGAAAATCGAATCGAAATTGAATTGAATCTTACCAAGAAGTCTTCTTGTGTTACCATAAGAACGGCGGTCAGAAAATGTTATGTGAAATATTGATTTTCAGGACTATGTTGCTCGAATCTAAATTGACAATAGGTTAAAAGAAGTATCACATTGATTTTGCAGGGCTCCAACTAATGTCTTCTGTTGACTAGATGACTAAGTAAGGTGCTTCTTTTTATAATCAAGTCCTATTATGTGTTTGAGACTATGAACAAACGGAGCGTAAACGGTATCTCATTAAATGAAATGTCGGTCTTTTAATCAAGGTCAAATAAGAATTTAATTTTTTTGGTTAATTATCATAATGCCAGCGCTAGACAGGTGTCTTAATCTAAGACAGTCTAGTCAATACATTCAACCATCATTCTTCTTTTTTCTGTTAGCCTTAACGTTAACAT